AGCTAGGGTGAGAAAAGACCTTTGAGTCCAAGCTCTGACAGAACACTGCCTTGTCAAAGAGCCCATGGCACTGTGTGCGCATCCAGCCTTCCTTTAACGCCTCCAGGGGTGGTGACTCCACCACCTCCCTGAGCAGCCCATTCCAGCGCCCAAGCGCTTTTTCTGTGAAGAACTTCTTCCTCATGTCCAGCCTAAACCTCCCCTGGTGCAGTTTAAGACCATCCTCTTGTCCTCTCGCTGTTACCTGGAGCAGAGGCTCAGACCCTCCACCTGGGTGCAGACTTCACCTGGCCACAATCTCCTTTCAATAATTAATAGAGAATGATAAAGTCACCCCTGAGCCTCCTTTTCTCCAGGCTAAACATCCCCAACTCCCTCAGCCATTCCTCCCAGGGCTCCTTCCATAAGCTCCTTTCCAACCCAAACCATTCTGTGACTCCCCCATGAGGGTAGATCCAGCCTCCCCCAAAGCCCACAGATTTATTCCCTTCTTTGTTTCCAAAATCGAACATAAATACATATTTACCCCGATCGGATGCAGGCAGAAAAACCTGAAAGCCAATCCAGAAGCATAAACATAAATTGGGCTGCGTTGAGTTACACCGTCTGTCTGGCTGGGATACAGAAAGGAAATAAAGCAGAGACAGTGACATGCAAACCAGGCTGTAAAATGTATTTGCTCTTTGTGTAATCAAAGTCTGCAATCTGCAAGCCTGCAGAATTCACTGCGGGATCCTCAGCTGCTCCCGACTGATGTCCATGCTGCAGAAGAGCCCCAAAACAGCACACTGAAATCTTACTATCTACTGCAATAAACACCTTCATTTTTACAACCCTTCCTTATTTGGTTTCTCGTTACTGTTGTTGCTTTCCATTGTATTTAAAATCGTTGTGTAGCATCCAGAGCCATTAGGGGATGCTTTATAAATACAATTAATTATCATTATTCTTATTATTTCAGCTTTACAATCTCTCTTTTCTCTTGCCAAGACCTGCTCCCTTGAGGTGGTTCAAAGGAGGAGAAGTTTTGTCTTGTTTTTTATTTGTCCTTCCTTATCTGCCTTAATTAAGTATCTGGGTTCTTCAGGGCAGGGAAGTTGTTTTTTAAGTCTGCAACCCTGAACTCAACCAACCCATGCAGCAAGATAAATATTCTGCTGTAAAAATATTTATGGCTGCAGTTAATACGTCTGGCCCTGCTTTTAGTGAACAAAGAAGGAGGAAGATGCTCTGAAACACAGAAAAAGTCAAAAGCATTTCTCTCTTAAGGAACAATAAAATAAAATGAGGAAACAGCTGTTCTTAATGAAAAAAACAAATCACAAGGTGAGGTGTGACTGAACTGAAGTTACACCATGAGAGAGCTTAAAATGTGGTGGGTGAGGTGCTGGTTCTGCAGCAGAATCACAGATTCAGGATGCCCATTTGAGAACCAGCTTGAGAAACTAGAATTAAAGAGTCAGGACAGCATCCCAAGGTTTTTAACAAGAAATTTCTTGTCCATATAGAGCCAGTGCCTATCAGCATTTTTCCAGCTCCTATTTATTTTTCATAAGTAGTGAGGGTTTTCTTTAATATTACACCCTAGTTGACTAGTACATACTATATTTTTCACTTAAGTATATAGCAAGTATTTTTTTCAAATATATTTAGTTTATTATATTATAACTATTATATTTTATATATATCTTAGTTTATTATATTTAGTTTATTTATAAAATAAAATTAATTTATTATACATATATTTATTATTATCATATTATACATTATTATATCATTATATCGTTATATACTTATATATTATATGTTATATATATTTATATTTATATCTATATTTGTAGGTATATTTATATTTATAATTTATAGTTTATTTTTATTTTTTATTTTAGTATATTATTTCAAATATATATTTTTTCCAAGCATATTTAGCGAGTATTTTTTCCCAAAAATATTTGGCGTATATTTGGCTAATGATTGGCACATTTTGGGATTTCCCTGCATGTTTAACAGACACCCGGTGCCTATTAAACATTAGGGTCTTGAAAAATCAGCTCATTAGTGTCTTGAAAAATACGAACACCGGCGAAATGAGGCAGGGTTAAAAGCGCCGAGCCCGAGGAGCGGAGAGAAGAGCGGCAGGAAAAGGGGATCCGTGTCCCCCCCGTTCCCTCCCGGTGCTGCGGAGGGACCGCGGGGCTCCGGTGCCATCTGCTGGGGACACCGCGCACGGCAAGCGGGGACCGCCACCGCCACCGGGCAGCGAGCGGGGACAGCGCGGCCGGGAAAAGGAAAGGCTCGAAGGGACTTTATGGAGCTCCAGAGCTCCCTGCGGAGAGATGGCAGCCCGGTGTGCGGCAGTCTGTCCGCCCAGGACAGGAGGAAACGGCCTCGAGCTGCAACAGGATGGATATCTGGGAAAGATTCTTCACCAAAAGGGCGGCCGAGCCCTGGAAGAGGCTGCCCAGGGTGGTGGTGGGTTCAAAAACCATCTGGATGCGGCACTGAAACAGCAGGGTTACCCTAAAGTATCCACTGATGGCTCTGATCATCTGATCTAAGGTACGAAACTTATATAAAACCTTAATTTGATTGCAAAAGGCTCCTCAGTTTTTAATTCAGCTGCATCCTGAACTCCACGTTGCACTGAGGGCAGTGGATCTTCCACAGTGTGTGGACATCAGCCACAGCAAGGTGCCTTAGAGGAAAGGGACACACTCCAAACAGTTCAGTGCTTGACATGAACCCATTGTGTCCTGGCATTCTCCTTATTGGGCAGCTCTCAATCACGAGCACATTTGTGGGGTGCATTTTAGCAGTGAGATGTTGTCTGTGATTCAGATTATGGACATCCATACCCAGAGAAAGCCTGGGGTAACCATCCTGTGGGGAATCTGCAGGGAAAACAAGAGCTAATTCTGCTCTGCACATGATGCAAGTCAACTGCAATCCTTCTCCTCTCCGTTTTTTTCTTCTGCAGTCACATCAGCATTGCTGAGGACTGCACAGTGTCCCGGCTGCCGAAACCAGCTCCAGCAGGACAGCCCGTCTGCTCCAGCTGGGCTGGGGCTGGTCACACATTAACTCCTTCAAACTGCTCTGTGTTAAGGTACCGGCCTCCCAAAACGCTGCTGTGGATCCACTGGGGGTCTGAAACAACCGTACGGAGTTTGACCCTTCAAATTCCTCCGGCTGTGTTGCAATCCTGTTAATATCCGGATTGCTGAGGGCAGCTCGTGGTACCTTTGACCATCCTCGTCAGAAGATAAGTCCTGCTGAATCCAGCTGCTGGCAAGGTCCTTATCCCTGTCACAGAGGTGGAGGCAGTGCCAGGTCTGTTGTGCCTGCGGCCTCGGGGCACCCCTGCTCATCCAGCCAGGTCCCGGGTGCCCGTTCTGCCACTTTCCAGCAGGACTGGGATCCACGTGTAACCACAGAAACACAAACCAGCGCTTCTGAAAGTGACCCGAGGTGATTTCAAACAACACCAGCAAAATACAAGGAAACTGATTTCAACCCCAGCCCTTCTGTGTGTATTTGGTTTCTGGGGGATAGTCCAGGACCTGGCTCCTGGGACTGGGAGGGAGTTTTTCTCCCCAAGCTTGTAAAGATGACCCTTTTTATTTTCAAAGCCCTTTCCCCCCAGGTTTCTGCCCGATTCTCTCCCTGCTCTTCACCAGCCCGGGGTATTGATCTCAGCAGGGTCACCAGTAAACTTCAAAGGGACTCACACTTGCACTGCTCGTTTAGGACCATGAATAACCCCATCTGAGCCTTATCATTTCCCCTCTGCCTCCACGGGAGATAAGGCACGGCAGGAGCCCTCCGGCCATCTCGCAGCCAGGCTGGTGACAGTCACACCACCAGTTATCACCTTTTCCCATAACCATTTCTGTTTCTTCAGAGCTGTCCCTGCAGCACCATCCTGCACCCACAGGAGAGGAGGGAAAGATCATTGAGAGGAGCACTCTTTTGTCCGGAAATACCCTGATTTTATCACGGCACATAAAATCAGAATGACTGTGACTCACCACCGCTACTATGCGATTTTTCATGATGTCACATCGTATCTGAAGGGACAAGGGGATAAGTGAAACATTAACAAGACATTATATTTCGAGCTGGTGACACCACAGCTATAAAGCCCCAGGGCAGCATTTAAACAGCTGGAAAACCGAGACCCACTTTCCACTGCAATTTTCCATGCGTTAGCAATAGGTTTGGTTACAGCTACTTGGTTACCAGCACTTAGGTAAAATTTCACTCCTGTAACAACCCAGCCTCCGACCAAACCAAATCTCCTTTTTGCCAGGTGCTGGGCGAACACAGCCATTCCAACCTCCTAACCCTGCCACTGCTGGGTGGCAATCCCTGGATCAGGGACAATCCCTGCTCACCGGGTGTTGGTGAGTGGATGGAGAAGGGGAGGCTGCCCAGAGCCGGCTGTTTCCATGACGCTGGTGGCAGAGGGGACATTCCTTTGCTCGGATGTCCTATTCCTACATTTGCCAGCTCCTGTGTTAGGGAGGAGACAGCACCTTGGGGGTCCTAAACCATCATCCCACAAGGAGTTCTCCCAGTCCATAACCACCACCCGGGGGTCTCTGGTGACCCTCTGATCAACACGTGTCTCCTCAGGGAATCCCCATCGCAGAGCCGGCGAGCAGGAGAGCTCCAGATGCCGCTGAACAAACAGGGGATGTCCCCTGCCCTTTGCACAGCAGATCCCCAGACCACCATCACCGGCAGGGGATCCCCAAACCCCAAATTCCCCGCGACGGGCTCTGGGCACCAACACGTGCGTGCGGGGACTGCCCGGCTGCCGGAGCGCGGCCGTGCGACTCCCGCTCCCAGCCCGGAGCACGGAGCTGCCGTGCCGAGCCGAGCCGAGCCGTACCGAGCCGTGCCGAGCCGTTCCGCCCCGCCCACAGCCCCGCGGCCCCGGGGGCGGAGGCGGCCGTGCCGTGCCCATAAGGCGGGCGGGGGTGGCCGGGGTGGCGGCGATGGCGGCAGCGCGGTGCCTGCGGAGCGCCCGGCGCCTCCTGCCCGCGGGCGCACGGCACGAGTGCTTGGAGCTGGCCCGGCTGGCGGGGCCCGTGGTGAGAGCCTGGGCGGGGTGAGGCGGGAGGGACACGGGGGACACCCGGGGGACGCTCCCCGGCATGGGGATCGTGGCGGGGCTCGGCTGTCCGCATCCCCGGGCGCTCCGGGATGCTCAGGAGGGAGATTTCAGGCACTGCTGGTCCCGTCCCGCCGGGTTTCGGCTGCCTCCAGCCTCCGGGTACGGCTCTGCGACCGCGGTCCCTCGGCCGCTCCCCGAGCCTGGTTGCCGCCCGTGTCCTTATTCTTTGCCCCAGGCGCTCTAACTGCTGCCCAGCGTGGTCCCTGCTTCCCTGCAGCTCGGCTGTGGAACAGCGCTGGTGGGCTCGGGGAGGGGGACTAAGCTGTTAAACTGCTCTGTGAAACCAGGCCTGAGCCCTGGCACTGCCACTCACCCCTTGGGTGACAAGTGGCACTTTGCTTAGTGCCAGCTCCATATCTGGCCCTTCCAGCGGGCTCTGGGTGCCCGGTGCTCGCTGTCCTGAAATCCTGCCTGGACTGGAGCTGCTGTTTGCCATTTGTCTGGACCCTCTGGAGGGAAATGACCCTTTGGTAGCTGGCACAGACAGTGCTGAGCACGTTTTGCAGAGGCTTCTGCAGAGGGGAACCACGCACCACAGCCCTGCTCCCAATCACTCGTGTGTGAACGTCTGTGCTTTTAGTCTTCTGCTATATCTGGTAAATAAATACCAACTGTTAAACATCTCAGAGGCACCCTCCCTGACATCAAATCCCTGACCTGCTGTGTTCCATCAGCAGAAGAAGCCTGGACTAGTTTCAGTTTCTGTAGATGAGCACATTAAACCCTCTCAATCCCCTCAACCATCCTGCCTGCAGCACAGTCTGCTCCTCCATGTGCACAGACACCTCCAACCCCAACCTACAGCTGCTGTTTGCTGATCATTCCATGATAAACGCTGTGTTGGGATGATGCTGGAGGTACAAACCCCTCCTGTGGGGATTACTCACAGCAGTGGGTCGAACATGCCTGGGCCTGCATCTGCAGGCAGCACTGGGAGGTCTGCAGAGGAGAAGGGATTGTTCTGCTCTTCCTCTGACCCCTCAGAGCTGGTTTTCCAGCAGCTCTGGGCTCTTGACTTGCCAACTGCTGGGTGGGAAGGAGCATGAACAGCTCCTGGGCATGGTTTCCAGCTGTGCCCACCCCTCAGTGGGTATAAATGTCCCTAACTCCTGCCCATGTGTTTCAAGCTGTGCCATGGCTCCGTGCCCTGGATGCCTGCAAGGGAGACATCCTCTTGCCAAGGGAAAAGGAGGTCTGGAGTGCAATCTCTGCTGCAGCATTGTTGCACACTGCTGGCAGGGAGCTCACAGACTGGCCTTGGTGTCCCTCCAGGAGGAGAGGATGTTGTGGTTTTGGAGGATAGTTTTCCACAGATGCACGCAAATGTGGAAAAGCACTGGGATGTTTTATTTTCCCTTCTCTGTGCAGCCTTCATCCTGGAAAAGAGGATTTCTAGTGAAGCCCTTAAGCCTCTCTTAAATGGGGTCATCTGGCAGAGTGGCTGTGTAACACCAAAATACCACGGGGCAGGTAGATGTTGGCTTTGAAAGACAAAGCTACTGAGGGCCTGCTTGAGTGCTGGAGCTGCCTCCCTGCCCAGCAGTGTTGGCAAGCAGGGATGGACTCCCAGGACCTCAGCAGAGCCCTGGCCTCGAGGCATGGACAGAAACACAAGGAAACCTGAGTGTTCATAGTCCATCTCCTGGGGCAGGCGTGGTGTTCCACAAGCCCTAACAGATCCTCATCTCACCATCTCCTTCTCCTCTCATCCTAGTTCTTTGCCCAGCTGCTGGGGTTCCTGATCAGCGTGGTCAGCTCCATCTTCTGTGGCCACCTGGGGAAAGCTGAGCTGGATGCTGTGACCCTGGCTGTGTCTGTATGTATTGCTCCAATTCCTCTTGGATTTAAAACACATTAATTACGTGTCACCAAAAACTGAAGAACTGAAAAACCCGATCTGTAGGAATGTATATGTGAGGGCCCTGGGGTTTTTTTTGCCCTGAGCACAGGCAGGAGAGGGGAGCTGAGCAGTGCCAGTGCAAGGCCAGCACCTGAGAGCCTCTGGCCAGCTCCCTGAACCCAGCAGACCCGGGCATGTAGCCAGGAGCAGCACTGTTTGTTGTGGTGCTTTAGATCTTCACCCCTTGCTAGAAGAGCCTTTAGTTAACCAGACTGTGTTATTCTGAGAAATAGAGAAGGACTGGAAAACTTCCCAGAAACTTGCAGCAGAGCTGTCTCCCCACCCAGCTGGGAGGGAGGCAGTGCTGTGGGCCAGCTTGCCCTGTCTCTCCCCCAGGTTATCAACGTGACAGGAATCTCCATCGGTGCTGGCTTAGCCTCAGCATGTGACACGCTGATGACCCAGGTCAGTAGCAGCTCCCCCTTTCCTGTGCCTGGGAGTGTTTGCTGGGGGTGTCTCACCTCCTGTGCAGCGTGATCTGAGCACAAAGGGCAGGGCAGTGGCAGCTTCCAGACAGAACAGGGTTGGAAATGCTCTGGCTGGAGCCTGCTCCTTCCCCAAGGAGCTCTGGGTCATGCCTGGGTGCCAAAGGATTTGCAATCTGCGAGCTGCACCCAACCAGCCTGGTATCTGCAGCTGCAAGGCATAAGAAAGGCATTTAGCTGTCCTGTTGTTGCCCAGCCCCCTTGGCTCCCTGTGATGCCCACCTTGATGCTCTCTCCTGACCCAGACCTACGGCAGCAAGAACCTGAAGCAGGTGGGCACCATCCTGCAGCGAGGCATCCTCATCCTGCTGCTCTTCTGCTTCCCTTGCTGGGCCCTCTTCATCAACACCGAGAGCATCCTCCTGCTCATCCGACAGGACCCCGAGGTCTCCAGGTCAGGGGTGAGATCCAGCCCTTCTGGATCAGGCATTTGCCATGGAGTGTTGAAATCAAGGCTCTCTGGAGCTCGAGTGCAGCTCTGTTTGGCTTGGCTCTTGCTTTGCTGGATCATTAACAGGGGAAACAACTCTCTTTCCAGGTTAACTCAGCTCTACGTGATGATCTTTATTCCAGCTCTTCCTGTAAGTCTCTGCTAAAGCTGCTAGCAGCTCTGAGTACCTTAGGAACACCAGGGAAAGGAGGGAAGGCCTTTGCTGTGTGCCTCACAGGGCAGCTTTAGGGCTGTACAGCCCTTGTGCCTTGCAGGATGTGCACAGGCCAGCAGCTGTTGGACCAGAAAACATCTCTCATCTTTCTGTGCAATGGCTTTTGCTGTGGCCACAAAACCTGTGATGGACATTGGAACCAGGGCCTCCAGGCTCACTCTTAGCCCCAAGATAAAGGCTGGAGCTGTTCCCACACTCACAGCTGACTCCTCTGAGGCAGGGAGCAGAACCCCTGTGGGATAAGGGTCTGTGGGTTTATCCTTCCAAGCTTTCCAGGCTTTCTCACGCTGACGAGGAAGCGCTGGAGATTTCCCATTTGGAGACTGATCTGCCTTCCCAATGGGAATGAGATGTGCTTTTTGTCTCTCTTGGTTTTGGGTGCTGGCAGTGCTTCAGCTGGAGCACAGGGGCTTTGGGGGAAGGTGCAGGGGGTTGGTGTGTCGGTGTGCAGGGGTCACAGTGTGGTGATGAACTGAATCCTGGCTTTTGCAGGCGGCGTTTCTGTACCAGCTGCTGACAAGATATTTACTGAGTCAGGTACTGTATAACTGGCCAGCTCCTGGCCTTGGAATGCAGGTATTCCCAGAACATGGATAAACTTGGGGATCTCAGTTCACCGTGTTCCAGGGAGAGCTGGGCTGGGCAATGGGGGATGAGCCAGCCCTGGCTGAGCTCAGGGGAACCACTCTTAGCTGGCTCCATTTCCTATTTCCCAACTCTGTGTTTTATGGGTTGCACCAGCTCCTGAGCTCTGCTTGTCACCTCCTGCATGTCTCACACAGCCCAGCCTCACCTGGAACAGGAGCTGCCTTCTTGGCTTTCTCCTGGGGCGTTGCTGGAGGTCTCCCTTGTGCTCACTGGATGGGGCTTGGGCTGCCTTTTGGGGAAGCAAACTCCAAAGTTCCTCCTTGGCTTCCAGGAGATCATAATGCCTCAGGTGGTGACAGGGATTGCAGCCAACATCCTCAATGCAGCCATGAACGCCTTCCTCCTCTATGCTCTGAAGCTGGGCATGGTGTAAGTGTGAGCAGGGCTGGGCACAGGCTCTCCCTGGGTGCAGGGCTTTGCTCAGGGCATGAGGGGGTTCCCTGTGTGCCCAGTTCTGCCACCCCCTCCCTCCAAACCCCAGCAGAGCTGAGGCTGGAGGGGTCTGTCCCATATCTGCAGCAAGGTTGCTGTGGGTGCCCTGGGCTCTGTCCTGCTGTGGCTGGGGAGGTGGGCACGGATGTCACTTGTAATCTGCCTGTCTCTCCCCAGGGGCTCTGCCTGGGCTAACATGGTTTCTCAGTACACCCAGGCCATCCTCCTCGTCCTTTACATGTGGTGGAGGAAGATCCATGTGAAGACCTGGGGAGGTACTGTTCTATCTTAACCCTTCAGGATATCAGTGTCTTTGGCATTGTCACCAGCATGTGGCAAAGGCATTGCCATCCCCTCACAGTGGGAAGGTGCTGCAGCCATGTCCTCAAGGCCTTTACTGTAGCTCCAAACACATTCTTGTCAAATATCCTGCCTCAGGAATGGCACAGCAGCATCCTGGGCTGATGTCCTGTGAGCTGCAGCGGGGGTTGTCCTCAGAGAGTGGATGTGGCTCCCCTTTAGGATAACACATGGATAACAACACATGTTCATTCTGCTTCACCTCCTCCTGTCAGGCTGGAGCAGGGAGTGCCTCGTGGATTGGGGCTCCTTCATCTGGCTGGCAGTGCCTGGCATGGTCATGATGTGCATTGAGTGGTGGACCTTTGAGATTGGGAGCTTCTTGGCTGGTGAGTCCAAATCCTCTTTTCCCTCTGATGCCTGGTGGCTGCTGCTTGAGGGTGTCCCCAGAGCCCCCTGGCCCTGCCAGCAGCAGCCTCCTCACCTACAGGGGCATCTGCAGGACACTGCAGGTGCTCCCATCCATCCCATGGGGACAGGTGCCTCCTTTTCAGCCAGTGAAGGAGGTGGCAAATCTTTTCCAGGGCTGATCAGTGTGGTGGAGCTGGGTGCACAATCTGTCATCTACGAGCTCGCCTGTGTGGCCTACATGGTAAGGGCTGGGGTGTGAGACCCTAAACAGCCTGAGAGGAACCCCAAAAAAGTGACCCTGTGGATCAGAGCTGGGCTGGGATGCAGGGCTTGGTACCAGGCAGGTGGTGCCTCTCCAGGGTGTGCTGCAGATGGGAAATCCCTTCACTGCAGCAATCCCAGTTTGTCCCCAGAAGAAGAAAATCCCTGCAGGCTCTGGTGTCCCTGCAGGCTCTGTCACTCACCCCCTGTTGTCTCCTGCTTCTCAGGTGCCTCTGGGCATCAGCGTGGCTGCGAGTGTCAGAGTGGGGAATGCCCTGGGAGCAGGGAATGTGGAGCAAGCCAAGACCTCCTGCATCACTGCACTGCTGTGCACAGGTCAGTGCAGTCCTGCAGAGCAGAATAAAGGGCAGTTATCAGCAAATGCTTCAGTTTCCCTCCCCCAAGGCTGGGGACCTCCCATAGGAACCCAGTCCCACTTGTTTGGACCCTTTGGGCAAGGCAAGATCCTGATTCATCTTTTCTGCTATGAGCCTGGTGCAAAGGCTTTGATAATTAAAAATGCAGCTTAATGTTCTGTCCTCACACTCCAGAGGGTAGAGGGGATACCTGGGGAGAGTGAGAGGAAAACAGACTTGTCCTCTGCTGCAGTATCATTTGAGGTCACTGAAGTCCAGTCACCACCACATGGAGCCCCTGAGGTGTGGGCCTGGGTCAGGAGCAGGATGTGCTGCCCTTGAAGCAATTTGACTGTTCCTTTTTCTTTCAGGAGTTTTCGCTGTGGTGGTTGCAGCATTACTGGGGAGCCTAAGGAACGTGGTGGGATACATCTTCACCAACGACACGTGGGTTAACAGCTTTCTTTTAAGTACTATTGCCTTCCTGGAGGCTGTTATTTGTACCCCAGAAGCTGCTGACAGATAAGAGTTCATAAACCCCTATCTGGCAAAGGTTCCTCAAAGGTTTCTCCCCATTTCCCAGCATCCCTGGGCAGCACAGCTGCTTCTAACACTGGGACACTACCATGGAACCAGGCTGGGATCAGAAAATTGGGATCAGCCTTTGTGGTTGATTGAGGAAGATATGTAAGAACCAGGGACCAGGTGGTGCTGCTTCCCCTGATCAATCCATCCCTCTTCCCAACAGGGAGATTGTCACCTTGGTGTCCAGAGTGATGCTCATCTTTGGTCCATTCCACTTGCTGGATGCCACAGCAGTGAGTGTTGCAGCACATGCAGTGACTCTTCCCTGCAGCTTGGGCAAAAGCTGCCTGAAGCCCACTCTGGACCTCTTAAAATGATCCAGAGAAGCCAACTGAGAAACTATCAAAGCAGCTGCTTGTGTTACCTTTTGCACCTCTGTGCCTGTGGCTGCCCCTTGGCAGTGCTGCAGACACCTCAGCTTTTCCTCCTCTTTTCCCCTGGCCACAGCCCCAGCTTTTTACTGGTTTATCAAAGCAACACAAGTGAGCAGCTGGCTCTCCAGAGATACCAGGCTCTCCCAGCACACTGGGATACTCAACAGACAGTAATTCTGGCCTGTTTCCTCCTGTCATGTCCTGGGGGAGGCACCTTGGGGATCTCTTTGGGATCTGCTCCGTGTCTGTGTTGCCACCTGGAGCGAGACGAGCCCCACACCACATGCTCCAGAATGTAGCTTTGCTGCCTCTTGGCTGGGTGGGGCAGTGCTGTGGGTTTCCCTGTCCCCAGGGCTGTGCCATGCCCTGGAGCCCCTGGCAGTGACACTGTGTCCCTCTCCTCAGGCCACGTGTGGCGGGGTGCTGCGGGGCACGGGCCGGCAGAAGCTGGGCGCCATGGCCAACGCCGTGGGATATTACACCCTGGGCTTCCCCATCGGCATCTCCCTGATGTTTGCAGCCAGGATGGGGGTCTTAGGTACGTGTTCCCTCCAGCTGGTGTGGTTTTGAGCTGTGTGGAGCAAAGGCTGAGCCCTGGAACTCGTGCCTGGATCTTCCTTTGGGTCAGCGGGGCTGGATTGGACACTGCTGTGGTTGGGGCGGGCGCTGAGTTGGTCCCAGTAAATCCAGGCTTACTCCCAGCTTCCCCAGGAGCTGTTTCCTTGAAAGTTCTTGGGCTGAAGTCCTTGGGCATTCTGGCAATGACTGGCAAAGGCAGGTTTTCCTCAAGCTTTTCCCTGAAGGAACTTCCCACTGCTGCAGGTCTGTGGGTTGGGATGATCATTTGCATCTCCGTGCAAGCCCTTTCCTTCTTGGCTTTTGTCATCCGCATGGATTGGAGGAAAGCTGCAGAGGAGGTGAGAATTGTGCTTTTCTCTGGTAGTTCTTGAAAAGTGCTGAGTTAACTCCTGTTTCAGTCCAACACTACAGCCCTCTGGGAGGTGGCAGAAGTGAACTGGGGTCTGTCCTCCTCCTCTAGCAGAGGAGCAGTTTGGTACTGAGAATGCTTGTCTTGGGAGAGTGGAGGGTATTTTGGGCTGGGCAGGACACCCTTGCCCTGAGAAGAACAACTCTTGCCTGTGTTTTCAGGCTCAAGTCCGAGCTGGAATGAAAGAACAAGTGGAAGATGTGAACTCCAATGGCACAGCTGCTGTCAAAACATCTGCTGTGGGTATGCAGCCAGGCCTGACACCAGGCAGGGAGCCCAAATCCTCCACCCAACCCCTTCCTTTCCTTCCCAACTGTGGCAACCACGTCTGTCCTGGAGGCTCAAATGGCTGGAAAGAGCACAGAGCCTGCTGCTGGCCCTGAGCCAGTGTCACTTCTCCTGCACTGAGCAATGGGGTACAAGACACAGCTTGCAGCTGTGTGTCCCAGTGTCCCCAAGCCTTGTGAAGGGACCCTGAGGACTGTCACAGGTGCTTGTGCAGCCTCCCTGCAGCTCTGTCTGTCCCACAGGTTACACCTCCCTTGACACGGACACCGGGGACACCACGGTCCTACCTGAGAGCATGGTGATGGCTGAGAGGCAGCCTGGCCATGAGCTCAGCCCTCAGGAGGAGCCTGCTGTGGTCCCTGCCCTTCCCCCTGTGCCATGGAGAGCTGTGATGCTCCGCCGAGGCCTGGCTGCTGCTGCTGCCATCGCTGTCCTGCTGGTGGGAATCCTGGTCCGGCTCCTGACTGGCAATGGATAAAGCAGGGACACTGGGGAGCTGTGCATGGAGCAGGAGGGCACAGGGCAATGTCCCAGAGGATGGGGAGGGATTCCCCCACAGTGCCTTACAAAAAGTCCCTTTGCACGGTTTCTGGTTAGCTCACAACGTTTTATCCCACACGCAGAGTTCTTAAAGGGGGTGAGGATGTGGCACCTGGGAAAAAAGGCTGGAGAGCTGGTTCCTCTCCTGCTCTGCACTGGGGTGTCACTCATCAGAGGTGGATGAGAGCAGACAGGGCCCTGGTGCCGCTGTCCTGCTCTCTGGGGACATTGGACCGTGTCATTTGCTCATGGCAGAGGCTCCTGCTGCCCGCAGCACATTTCCTCACACAGCATCTTGAGGTGGCAAATGTCACTTGCAGCAGCTGTGGAACAAAATGGATTTTGCTGGAAGATGTCAGACTCTGCTCTTGGGTGCTGGCTGCTGGCCTTGACCCTGCTCTCCCTCTGCAGGGCGGGCACAGGGCCTAAAGCAACTCTTCTTTACACTTTTGTAAGGTGGGATTTTGATACAATAAAGTTTTCTGAGTAAACGTTGGGCTGTTTAATATGGTGTGAGCGTGACCCTGGTCATTGGCAGGACTGTGCTCTTGAGAGGGAAGATTGTGGGTCTGCTCCTGGCCCTGAGGTTTGGGGCTGGCTCCAGACACAGTGTTACCCCTCTTCCCCTCGGGTACAAAAGCAAGATTTGTTGTTGTCAGCATTGTTGAACACTAGAAGAGGGAGACTGTGTTGCTCAACCACCAGGGAACTGCCCCATGTCACAATGCCCAGCCCTGCTTCCCCCCGGGCCTGGCCAGGGCTCTCACCTGCCCCTGGGTGACTGTGACATGTCAGCTGCTGGGCGCTGGGAGGTCAATACCTCACACAGGTGTGGGCACCTCCCTGTCACCCCACAGCTCTCCTGGTGCTGCTGGCCTGTGAATGAAAAAACGTGACACCGAGTTGGAGCGCGCCACCAGCCCCAGCACCAGCGGGAGGACGGGGCAGACCCTGCCCTGCTCAGAGCCCCGGTAGGTTTGGGATGGCAGGGAGGTGCCTCACTGTGTGCCACGCGTTATCCCAGCCCACTCCGTGCAGCTGGGGGCTGCACTGGCAGCATCTCCCATCCCCATTCGGGCTCCGGGGAGCGGTGCCAGTGAAACCCGACACGGCGGGGCTGTGCCAGGACAGCAGGAGCCAAGGGGCCGGCTTGTCTTGGCCACTGTGATGGGAGTGAGCGAGACACAGCCCCGCCACTGCCGGCAGAGCTCAGCAGAGCCCTCAGACCCCACAGCCCTGCCCGCCGCTGCCAGAGCAGGAGCAGCCTCCAGCCGCTGCCCGCGGGAGTGGGGTGAAGCGGGAGAGGTAGGAGGGTTCGCAGGGTGGATTTCGGATGGCTCGGCCCAAACGCTGGCTCAGGACAGGCAGCAGAAACCTGGCACGGTGTCCGGGCTCCTTTCGCTGCCTCCTGGGCGTTGCCAGGACCTTCCTGGGCTCCGCCGCTCCGTGTCCACTGCTGGGGTGAAGCAGGAGAGGGAGGAAGGGTCGCAGGGTGGATTTAGGACGGCTCGGCCCTAACGCTGGCTCAGGACAGGCAGCAGGTGCCTGGCACGGTGTGTCCGGGCTCCTTTGCGGGCTCCGCCGCTCCGCGCCCTGCCCTGCCCCGCTGCCCACCCTTCCCCTGGGCAGCCCAGCTCCGCGGGCCCCGGCTGAAGTTCAGCCCGGCGTGGTTACACATTGCTCGCCCCGGCGCGGTTTAACAGAGCGCGGAGGAAGGGGCTCGCTGCACTCCCCCGGCAGGGCACCATGAAGCCGGAGAGCTTCCCCGAGGAGAATGGCTTCGGGGAGGGAAGGGCCGCCGGCCAGGGCGACCTCACACCCGAGAGCTGCCAGAAGAAACGCCGCTGGATTCCGGAAAACTTCTGGGAGGACGTGAGGCAGCTGCTGGTGCTGGCGGGGCCGCTGGTAAGAGACTCCCCCCAGCACAACCAGCCCTGCTCACCCCCATCATCCCTAACCTTGAGCTCTGCTCCGTGCTTAGATCCTGATCCAGCTGCTGATCTTCCTGATCCACCTCGTCAGCTCCATATTCTGTGGCCACCTGGGCAAGGTTGAGCTGGCCTCTGTCACGCTGGCCATCGCTGTAAGCATTCATTCCCTCCCTGCTGACACGGGGATGAGATATGGCAGGGGAAAAAGAGGAGATTTCATACTCCCGCTTTTCCTTTCAGCCCCCTTCTCCCTGCCTGGAAGTCTAAAATGCTCACCTTCACTCCTTGCTTTTTTAACTCCCAGGTTATAAATGTCACTGCCATCTCTGTAGGTTATGGCTTGACTTCAGCGTGTGACACCTTGATATCACAGGTGGGTAGGACATGCTGGCTTATCCTGGGGACACGGGTGGTTTCCACATCAGCTGATGGTGCCCAGGCACCACACAGAGCCCAGGCTGCTCCTGTGAGCTGGGGAAGCTTCTCCCCATGCAACAATCCCATAACAAGGATATCTGTGCTCCAAATCCTTCCCAGGAGATTTTCAGGGTGGTCAGGGCTGCTCCGCACTCTCCAGGGCCCCTTTTCCCCCAGCACCAGCTGATTTCACTGCTGCCCTCTCACCCTGCAGACCTACGGCAGCAAGAACCTGCTGCGTGTGGGGGTGATCCTGCAGCGTGCCACCATCATCATCCTCCTCTGCTGCTTCCCCTGCTGCGCCGTCCTCATCAACGTCGAGCCGCTGATGCTGCTCATGCATCAGGATCCCGATGTCTCCAGGTTGGGTGGTGCCCTCGTCCCTCCCCGGTGTGGAGGGGCTGAGAGGAGGGAGGTGGCCATGGCCATGCCCCTCCCTGAGCCCCTCTCTGTGCCCCCAGGCTGACCCAGCACTACGTGAATGCATTTCTCCCTGCCCTCCCGGTGAGTGCCACCCGCACATGGGGACAGGCTGTCCCCATCCTACAGCTCAGCACTGCCTCCTCTCATCCAAAATCTCCTTTGCAGGCAGTTTTTTTGTATAACCTGGAGACAAGATATCTGCAGAACCAGGTGGGTCCCAAAGTCCTCACACCCACCCTGGCTCAGGGCTCCCTTGCACAGTGCATCCAGGGTTTCCATGCTCACTGCTCCCACTGACAAGGAGCCCAGGTGCCCCAAAAGAGCTCTGACCCTGTAGCTCACCCCATTCCACAGCCAGCTGTATCCACCCACCTCCCTTCATACTTCCCCACACCAGGGATTTACCTCCACCACACTCATTCTCCAAGCAGGCGACATCACTGGAAGTTTGGGGTTTTTTTCTGGGAAAGGCACTGAGAGTGGGGCTGGGGAGAGCTTCACACCTCCCTCCCAAAACCTTTGGGAAGACTCCCCCATCTCCTCCTCTTTGCAGATGATCATGTGGCCCTTGGTGCTGAGTGGGGTCATCGGCAACCTCACCAACGTGGCTGCAAACTACGTCCTCCTCTTCGTGTTCCACCTGGGCGTCATGTGAGCGGCACCTGTGTCCCCTGGAGGGCAAAACAGGGCACCTGGCACTGGCCAGGGAACACCGAGCTCCCAGGGGTACAGCAGGATGTCTCTTTCCACCCTGAGGGAGGCATAAGCAGGATGCCAATGACCTTTCTCACTTCCTCTGCAGGGGCTCTGCCTGGGCCAACACCATCGCTCAGTATTCGCAAGCCATTTTCTTGTTCCTGTACATCATAGGCAGGAAGCTCCATGTGAACACCTGGGGAGGTAAGGACATCTGCTCTGCTCCCTCTGCTTCCTGCTTTACCCAGAAGTGTCTATAAAACTTCTATCAGGTGTTCTTGGTAGAAGAGGAATTCTGCTCATCCTGATGGTGAAACATTAACCCCAGCCCACAGTGCTGCTTCAGTGGCACTCGTCACGCACCAGCACTGGCAGAGCTGTGATCAGCACTAAACATTAATTCTGCAGAAATGAAACTTTCTGCTGAGGCCTTGGAAGGTCCAGCCCCAAAGCCGGATGAGCAGAGACGTAAGCAGGAGGTTGTCCCTGGACACAGCTCCAGGAGGGATGGGCTGAGGGTTGTGCTGCTCTGTGGCCCATGGGGCAGCAGCAGAGAGGTTGTAGGTGGACATTGAGCTGCTGGACTTCCTGTGGAGGCTCTGAGAACAGGAGTGGCACCTCCAGCTGCCCTGGGTGCTGTGCAGGATGTAACCCTTGGCCAGGCTGGTCATCCATCAGGTGTTTCTCCTCTCAACAGGCTGGTCCAGCGAGTGCCTGCTGGAGTGGGACAGCTTCACCTCCCTGGCCATCCCCAGCATGCTCATGATGTGCATCGAGTGGTGGACCTACGAGATTGGGAGCTTCTTGATAGGTCAGTGGAGAGGGGATCTGCCAGGACACGGCCAGGCTGGACCCAGAGCAGCACCCACAGCCAGCACTGACCCCTCCTGTCCCACAGGCCTGCTGAGCGTTGTGGAGCTCTCTGTCCAGTCCATCATCTATGAGGTGTCTGTTGTGGCTTTCATGGTAAGGGCTGGGTTACCACTGCACACCAGGGCTCCAAGGGGGCTGTCTCCAGACAGGCACACAGCAAAATCTGCTCCAGCAAACCCCCGTCTTCCCCTCTGCACTCAAATCTCTCCCTGCTCCTGCCCCTCCCTCCTCACAGAGATGCTTTAAATCAAATCCTGAACTCCACCCTGCTCTCTGCTGGGTGGGTATCCCCCTGCCACTGGGACAGCCCCATTGTCAGGCACATGTGAGCCCTGTGCTTGCAGATCCCCCTGGGGCTGGGCACAGCTGCCAGCGTGCAGGTGGGCAACGCGCTGGGTGCTGGCAACGTCGAGATGGCCAAGAGATCCTCCCACACCAGCCTGATCTGCACAGGTCAGTCCACAACGGCCTAGAAAGCCTCTTCCTGGCCTCCTTCCCATGGAGCAGGGAGTGTTTGCAACCCTCTTTTCCCCCTGCTCTCCAGCCAGGCCTGGCTCAGCTCTGTGCTCTGTTTTCAGGGGTGTTCTCTGTAATTGTGGGGTCCATTTTAGCTGCTGCAAGGAATGTGCTGGGATATGTCTTCACCACAGACAAGTGAGTGCCCCCAGCTCCTGGCCTCGGTGTGTGGAGGTCAGTTCCCAAAAGTGATCCTTGGCTTTCCTCCGTCCCCAGGGAAATCATTGACTTGGTGGCGTGGATCATGCCTGTCTACGTTGTCTTCCACTTGTTTGAAGCCATGACTGTAAGTCCCAGGGAATGCTGCTATTTTCCATGGGGAACCTTGGTGCTCAGCAGTGTCATGGATCAGGCAGTTGAGGGTCCCTCAGGCTGCAGCTGAGCACCAGTGCCCACACCAGGACCCTGCAGAACTCCTGGGATCGTCCCTTAGAAAATGTCGAGTGCATAAAAGGATGGTGACCCACAAGACTGGGCAGGGACACAGAAACAATGGGCAGAGGCAGGGAGCTGGGCCAAGGTGCTGCTCCCTGCCCCAGCCCCTCTCCCTCTCCTGGCAGGGTGCCTGCAGCGGGGTGCTCAGAGGCATTGGGAAGCAGAAATTTGGTGCCATCCTCAACGCTGTGACTTACTACGGTGTGGGCATGCCCCTGGCAGCTGTGCTGCTCTTCGTGGCCAGGATCGGCGTCATGGGTACTGACCCCTGGGCACTGCACCCCCAAACCCCCCCCAGGCAGCTGCAGCTCCACTGGGGGCTCACCACAACCCTCGTGCTCGGCTCTGTCCCTCTGCTGGCCTGCCCACACACTGGGCTGGACTGGGATGGCTCCTGCAGCTGCTGGGAGCTTTTACTGGGAAAAAGTAACCCCAAAGCAGGCACCCATGAGCACCCCGTGTCCCCACTGACCTGGGTGACATTCCCTTTCTGGACCTGCTGTCCTGGGAGGCTGGGTTGGCTCTGGCTGATGCTGTGTGCCCTCTGCAGGCCTGTGGATCGGGATGCTCGTCTGCGTCTTCATGCTCTGCACCAGCTTCCTCACCTACATCTCCCGTGTGGACTGGGAGAAGGCAGCCAAGAAGGTAATCCAGGCACTGACAGCACATTCATGCACTGGGAAGGTCCTCAGTGCCCTGCTGGGATGAGACAGGCTCTATCTCATGTCCAGTGCTCCAGAGCAAAACCCAGCACTCCCACGACATCCCTGAATTCAGCTTCCCCCTGCGCAAGCACTCAGTGACCTCAAGGTTTCCCCCTGCCCCTCTTTGGGGGACACAAAGCTCAGAGCAGATGGAGTGACCTGGGCTACCTCAGCCCTGAGCATCACCTTGTGCCTCAACATCTCCAGGGAGGCCCCAGGAGAGGCAGCACAGCTTTGCCAGGTGGGAATTCCCAACTAACCCCAGCACATTCCCTCGGCAGGCTCAGCGCCGCGCAGGAGTGACCCCACAGGAGCTGCCAAGCCTGGGCCCCGAAGGCTCCTACAAGGACCTGGATATGGCACCAGCCCCCCAGCCCCACACCTTCCTCCCTGCCAGGGCCGTGCTGGGGTCTGTCGGTATGGCAGGAGCTGGGCACTGTGTGCAGGGGAGGGTTTGGTGCAGGAAGGGTCCTGAAAGGTTCAGGAATGAGCCCATAAAATGGGGGAGTGTCATGCTGGTGACACCCTCAGCTACTGGGAGAGCAGTAATTACAAGCATGGGCTCAGGAGGGTGACAGAGGTTGGCAGAGGGACGACCTGTGGGCAGTCCTCACCTGGTCCCACCTCCAGGGGCAGGACCTGGTTGAGATCTGAGATCTCCAGTGCTCCTAACGTGCCTTCAGCCCTGCGATAAAACCCTCCTGAGGTCCCCCCCAAACCCTGTTCTCCTTGCAGCGGGATTAGAATCACAGAGCGACGTTGTGCTGACGAGCATCACCAGGACAGAGGGACCCACGTACCAGCTGGAGCTGAGGGAGGCCACCTCCTCCCCGGGCACCCGTGCGGCGGTCACCAAGCAGCTGCTCCTCCGCCGTGGGCTGGCCGTGGCCGCGGCCATCGCCGCGCTGGCCCTCGGCATCGCCGTGAAGCTGATTGTCAGCACAGACTGACTCACACCAAGGACTCTGGGGACTCGTTTTTGGGGTGAAAGCCTTTCCTGAGGGACAGGCGTAGCAGGCACAGAGGAGCCAGAGAGAAGGTGGAGCGCACGCCTGTCCCGCAGGAGCCGAGGGGCCTCTGTCAGTGCTCAGCAGTGTTTGTGCAGGTTTTGGTTGGGAATGGGCCTTGAGGATGCTCTGGCACCCAAAATGCTGCTCTGAGCTGCCTGACACACACTGAGTGTGTGGGAAACCCCGCCCAGTCCACACTGTGACCACCCACTGCAGCTGAGCTCAGCCCAGCTCCCCCTGCTGCTCCGTGACAAATGCCCAATAAAGAATAAACCCAGCTGGAGTGGGACTGGCTCCTTGGGGTGGAGGCTGGGGACAGGGCAGGGAACATCCACACATGGGTCTCACCCTGCCCCAGGTGGCCTTTGCAGTAAAATAAAGGTTTTATTCAGCAAGGCTCAAGGGCAGCTCTCAGTTACAAGTCTGGAGGTAAAAGACTATCCATAAACTCATAAACCCCTGAAATTGAGTTACAGAGGAGGTGGCTGTGCCTGCTCTGCCACTCTGGCCAAGGATACCTGAGAGCTGGGACTCCAGTTGCAGCAGCACCCCTGTCTTTGCCCCAGTAGCCCCAAAAACAGCAGCACAACAGGCTCTGGCACTTCTCAAGTCCTTGGGACAGCATGGTCACAGCTCAGGTGGCTTTTGCCACACCTTGGATGGCTAAAGGTGGTTTCCCTGCAAGGAGCATCACCCATTCAGTCATGAGGCCCTTCAAGGATGAGATACTGCAGGTTCTTCGAGGCTCCTTTCCCTCTGCTTTGGGGACAACCAGCCTGGACTGTCCCCTGCAGTGAGACCCTCATTTCCCAGGCTTATCGCTGTGGTGAGCAGCTTCCTCTGGGGATCAGGTGAGGTGTTACAGAGATAACAGGCTCAGTAACCACTGGCTTTGTTTAGATACCCTTGTGACAAACACTCCCACGTTCCCAGGAGGTTTTAGAGGAGTTGCTGTTTACAAAGCAGGGTGGATGCTTCCTTCCCTCTGCCACTCAGTGCTCAGGCATGATCCATGGACTAGGTCTGGATAGATTCCTGTTTCAGCAGGAGTTGGAGTCTTTAACTTGGGGTGTCTCTGCTTTGGGAGCATTTTTTTGTCTTCTACCTCTTCAGTGCACTGGCTGCCTTGGAAGAAATGAAATTGCAGCAAAGAAAAGTTCAGCAGTAGGACTGCAGGGAGTGAACAGTGGGTCCAAGGGCTGGCTGCCCATCACCCCTCTCAATGGGGGCACAACACCTGGAAAGGCACAGAAACAGGGATGAGTCCTCCAGGGAGGGAGCAGAGCTCAAAGGAACGGGGTGATGAAGGGTTAGGAAGGGCTCAGGGGACAGAGCTGGGAGCACACACCCACAGGGACAGCAGAGAGCCAAACTCACCTTTGCCACCACGGCTTTCACAGCCGCCAGCAGGGCCGAGATGAAGTGTCCCACCCTGCTCCTCTTACACTGCCTCAGCAGGAAGAGCTTGGCCAATTGCATCAGCTCCTCACTGCCAGGTGGGTACCTCAGCCTGTTCATAACCTCCCACCTGAAGTCCTTGAGCAGGCAGGAGCGGCGGTGGGAGAAGGTCTCGAAGCTGAACCTGCCGTGGTAGGCGCCCATCCCGCTGTGCCCTGAGGGACACAGCCAGGCAGGGCACTCCTCAGGCTCACACTGCAACACCTGCGTTTCTCAAACTCACTTTGGCAGCCCCCAGGACACAGGGAAAGCTTGGTCATGCTTCTCCTCAGGTCAGAGGAGCAAAGAGCAGCTTTTTGAACTTAGCAGCAATCAGCGAGGACCTGCCCTCTGCCTTGAGGTGCTGCTTGTGTGAACCCACCCTTGAAAGGGTAATGACACAAATTATCTCCTCCCAGGGCCAGCCTTGCTTTTCCCACAAAATTCTCACAGGGGTCAGGGACAGGAGGAGCTGGGCCTATGATTTCAAGGAGTGGGACATGAGGAGGACACTCAGCAACACCCAAGACCCCAGCCCTGTACCCACAGCCAGGTGAGCTCTGCCACAGGAGTCCGACAGCAGCTATGGAAACTCAACCAGGCCAGGGACAAATCCATCCCACACCCCAGCACAGGAGAACCAGAGCTCATTTGTGTGCCAGGGGGTTTTCCTCTCTCACTGAGAGGCCCAACAACCAAAACACAAATGAGCCTTTTTACAAAGCAACCCACCCCAGAAAATAACACTAACGGACAATGCAGCTGAAGCTCCTGAATTGCCACATGGGCAGAGAGCTGCTGGGTGGGGCCAGAGGCTGCTGCTGATCGAATGCAGGTGCGTGGGCGGGGGCAGGGACTCACCCACACCGCCGAAGGGCAGCTCTGGGAGCACGGAGTGCATGATGACATCGTTGGCTGTCATGCCACCGCTGGAGGTCTCTGCTATCACCCGTCTGATCAGCTACCCACAATGGGAGAGGGCACACAACAAATCAGGAGGGGACACAACACCATGTACCACAGCAGGGAGGGTTCGAGGTGGTGCCTCCATCCCCCTTTGTGGGGGGCACAGGCTGTGCCTTGTTCCATGAGAGAGGCCACTTTACACCACTTAAGCACAGGATCTGCCCAGCTGGAACAGCCACAAAATGAAAAGGCTTCAGCCCAAGGTGCTCCTCAGCCCTCCCACCCAAACTGCCTGGGGCTGTTGTTCCAGGGCAAAGCCCTGACCTGGATTCCTGAGCTGGCACAACAGAGCCAGGAAACGGGGGCAGGAGACAGGGCAGGAAGCAGCACCCACCTGTGTGGGTAGAGATGAACAACCCTAGAGCCGTTCAGCATGTGACTGGGAGCTTACAGCAGCTCTGGGGACTCTCATGGCCCCCAAACACTGTGATTTCCATAAATCTCCTTTATGGAAAAGGAACTGACTCAGACCCTGCAGAACTCTGTGTCTGGGATCAGCCATGGTCAGGATCCAGCTGTGCAGAGACACTTCCAGGAGAGAGCACAGCCCAGACCCACCTGCTTGTTGTTGGAGAAGACATACAGGGCAAGAGGCTTCTCTCGAAGGTTCATGAACTCAATGGCTTCCTCCACGCTCTTCACAGTCACAATGGGCAGCACTGGCCCAAAGATTTCCTCCTCCATCACCTTTGAGTCCGGGGAAACATCCGTGAGGATGGTTGGAGCTGAGGCAAATGGGAGAATGAGAGAACAGCATGAGCAGGACACAGACCTGGCCCATGACAGGACCTTGGGCTGCTCAACATAACTCAAGTTAGGCACAGACAAACAGACCCCACAAAACACCCACTACCACCTCCCCTCCACAGCAGCTGCCAGGAGCACCTATGAAGCAGGAGGCCTCATCAGTCTCTCCCCCAAAAGCAATTTTCTGCCCTTCCATCAAGCCCAGGATCCTCTTGAAGTGACGCTGGTTGACGATCCTTTCATAGTCTGGAGATGACTTCACGTCCTCCCCATAGAATTCCTGACAAAAGGGAACAGCAGAAACAAAAGTGCTCAGCACACCTTCCAACAGCTCCAGGAAATCACACCTGGGACAATCTCCAGAGCACAAGGGACTCCTCCCTCACCTTCAGACTGGCCTTGATGTTCTCCACCACCTTGCTCTGGATGGATGGGTCACACAGGATGTAGTCTGGGGCAATGCACGTCTGCCCACAGTTCATGTACTTGCCCCACGTTATCCTCCTGTGCCAAGGGAGAAAGGGACATGCTTGCTCCATGCTCAGTCCCTTCCCCACCCCTCAGCCCAGCTGCCAGCACCTGAGCTGGCCATGCTGGCCCAGAGACGTTCCCCTGCCCTGCTGCTGAGGGCCCATCAAGGCTGCAAGAGCCAGACCTGCAGGCGACAGCCAGGTCACAGTCCCTGTCGATGTAGCAGGGGCTCTTCCCTCCCAGCTCCAGGGTGACAGGGGTCAGGTGCTTGGCAGCTGCTGCCATCACAATTCTGCCCACAGCAGAGTTGCCAGTGTAGAGGATGTGATCAAATCTCTGGGTCAGCAGCTCGGTTGTCTCAGGAACTCCTCCAGTGACCACAGCATACAGATCCTGCAGGGAAGGAGTGTCAGGATCACCCCAACCCAGCTCATCACTGTGACACAGAAAAACAAGGGGACCAAGACAGGGCCACACTCACCTTGTCCAGGTACTGTGGGAGCAGCTCAGCCACCAGCCGAGCCGTGTTCTCACTGACCTCTGACGGCTTCACCACCACAGCATTGCCTGCAGGGCACACACAGCACGGACACTGAGCCCTCAATCCTCTGCCCACACCCAGCCAGGACCCCAGCAAGGCCCTGCTGGATCCTCACCCCACCAAGGCCCTGCTGGATCCCCACCTGCAGCGATGGCCCCGATCAGGGGCAGCACGACCAGGGCAAAGGGGTAGTTCCAGGCCCCAATGACCAGCACCACGCCCAGGGGCTCGTAGCCGATGTAGGCCTCGTCCCTCATGGTCAGCAGGTCCTTTTTGACGTGATGAGGGGCTGCCCAGGATGGCAGCTTCTCCATGGTGAGGGCCAGCTCCCCCAGCACGCCCAGGATCTCTTGGGTGAAGGCGTTGGGCCCACTCTGTAACAACAGGGATTTTGGGGAAGGCATGGAGAAGGCATCCACCTCCCACAGCCACCATGGCACCCTGGGGAGTCAGAGTTATCCAGTTCCACGATGGGGGACATGACAAAAACCATTTGTCACTGCACAGGCAGCCCTTGGCCTTCCTGCTTTGCTCAGGGTTACCCACTCTCCGTGCACAGCAAAAGGGAGGGATCCCCTGACAACACAGACCTTGTTCAGATCGGCCTTGAGGGCTCTCATGATCTCCTTCTCCTTCTCCTGCACCATCCTCTCCAGAGCCTTCAGCTGCTGAATCCTGAACTCCAGCGGGCGGCTCCGGCCCGACCTGAAGGCGGCCCTGGCCCGGCCCACGATCTGCTGCATCTTCTCCATGGCTGCTCAGCACTGAGGAGACACCGGCGACCCCCAGCTCAGCACAGGGCCATGGAGGCCTGCTCAGCCCCAGGAACACCTCCAGGAGTGTCCCACCCCGAGCAAGGCTGGGAGGTGTCGTCCTTCTTGTGAGGAGTTGCCACTCTCAAGCCGAGTACTGAGGGCTCACAGCACCCAAGCCCTGTTCCACCTGCACAGGGCACCTCCAGAGCAATCTGGGGTTTGCTGATTGATCCTGCTCTGAGGGTGCTTTCTCCAAGCCTCAAACCCACCAGCCACTCCACCCTCTGCTCACAGGGATGTTCCCAAGGAGCCAAAGCACAGAGATGACCGTGGCCAGGGTGGGAGCAGAGCTGTGTGCCCAGAGCCGGCCTGCACCCATAACCCTGAGGCCCTCACACGTCTTCACAGAAACACAACAAAACACTGCAGAGATCTCACCCTGCTTCCCAGGAGCAGCATTTCACTTTGGTCAGGACCAGAGATCTGGTGCTGCTTCCCTGCCCAACCAACACACCAAGATCCCCTTACAATGATTAAATCCTACCCTTCCCAACCCACTGCCACAGCCCAAGAAAGTAAGTGACTCATTAAAAAACGAAGGAAAAAAAGCGAGTTACCTTCAGAGGAGCTTCTCTCTCCACCAGCCTCCTGTGGCGACTGCAAGCAGGCACAAGCCCTTCCCCTGCCATGGCTGGGGGCGATCCCTCCTCCCACGGGAGAGCTGGCCCTGGCCCAGGGCTCTTGCTGGGCATCATGAGATGCCCTTTACCCAACCCTGTCCAGCCCTGGGTGGCTGCTCCAGGCAGGGCAGTGACTCAGCCCTGGTGTGGGATGGCACACACCACGTGCCTTTGCCCACGCCTGGCCCATGTGTCGGGACACAAGGCTCAGACTCAGGATCTAAAACCCTCAAGCAGGCAGGTGGCAGGGAATCCAGCATGGATCTGAGAGGGGGAAACAGGCCAGCTCCTCTGCTGGCTCACCCCACTCCCTGCCTGGCTCCAGGAGTGTTTTCAGTGCCCAACAGAGCTCTGGGAGATCCCTGCCAGGGTGCCAGGGACACCTCACAACACCTGTGTGACATTCAGCCAAGCCATGGCCAGAGCTGGGACCAGCAGAGCAGGATTCCTCAAGAGACTGCAAGGACTTACCACACTCAGTTTATTATTTAAATCCTCAGTGTTTATTTAGTGGCTTGCAAAATGTATCATCAAAAAGGCTTAGCATATGGATTTTCACCAGACATGAAGAAATCCCACTTATTGCACAGTAAATATAATTTTCTACTCTATAGTAATTGCATTTAGTAATATTTTTTCAATTTGCTTTAACATTAATAGTTCGAAGGCTCTTTCACCTTCAATTCCTTCAGCATCCTTCCCCCAAGCTAGAACAAGCCCCACATAATCCCCCAGTGCAAGATTACAGAATCCTGAGAAGCTCAAACACGAAGGAGCACACACACTCTTCCAGTAATTGTTTTCTCTTGGAGGAACCTGACCAGGAACAGCTTTGTACTGGGATGAAGTCAGTTTTCCTGTTAGACACTAAGTTTCTTCATAGAAGGATGGTGCTGTTTTGGGTTTGTGACATTGGGAGTCCTGGTGTTTGTCTTCCCAAGTCACCACCAGGTGTGATGATGCCCTGCTCTCCTGGGGATGGCTGAACACCTGCCTGATGAGGGGAATTAATGAACAAATTCCTTAATTTGCTTTGATCTGCCTGCAAGCCCAGTTTTCACTTCACCTATTAAACTATTTTTATCTCAACATACAAGTTTTCTCACTTTCTTCCAATTCTCTTCCCCATCCCACAGGGAAAAAGCAAGTGGTTCTATGGGGCTAATCCACAAAGTGTTTGTCATTCCCACTTCTCTGAACAGGCATGAAAATTCTTTTGCTCCAGCATGAGACACTCATCAGCACAACACAGGCAGCACAGGCATCACCTTTGGAATTTTCTAACTGCTAAATAACTGTTAAAGGCACGTGATGAAACACAGAACCCAGCAAGCAGCCCCTGACCAGCTGTGGATGATTCTGGATTGCAGAGATGTGAGACTGTTTCACCTCAGTTAAATGGCAAGGGGAACCTCACTGGGTTTATTCACAGCCACCACTCTTGGCCAAACGCATCGGGCAGCACAGCCTGTGCCAGGCTTGTCACCAAGAGGGTGAGTGTTCAGACCATCCCCAAAACTGCAGGGAAAACCCTCTCAATCCAAGGACTGCTGAAATTTCAGCTCCTGTTGGTCAGTGAAGGAAGGTGAGTGGTTTGGTGCAGGACACTGTGTGTCCCTGGAAGCTCTGCATGGCGTGGGGTGCAGGTAGGGACTGGAATTCCTGCAGTCCTCCTTCGGAGAGCTTGGCCTCAGTGTTCCCTCTGTTCCAGCATGGCTTTTAAGTAAACAGGAATCTGAGCCTTCTCGTGGTTAGTGCCTCTCTAAGGCTACTCTGTGTGCTCGACAGCTCACTGAAATCACCCAGAACAAAAGAAAATAATGACTTCCCAGCTTAAGGAAACAGACACAAAGCCAGCACCCAGAGTATGATGTGCACATGGTGCCTTCTCCTCTCTTCATCAGTTAAGCACCTGTGAAAGCAAAACACAACACCAACACCCTGTGAAGGATCTGCTGAGACAAAACCAATTCCCTTTCTAGAACAGCCTGAAGCAAAGCCCCTTCTTCAGGCAGGGGGTTCCCCAACGTGCAGCTCTCCTGCCCCTCAGCATGCACTGGTTATCTCAGATGCCAGGGAAAACATCGTGCTCTGGCTCAGCCCCACATTCACTCATCTATAAAGCTTTTCCCAATCTCAAACTAGGTCTACACACAGGAGAAGAAAAAGGCTCCTACCTCACTGTGGCAGCCACAGCAGTGCTCTGAAACCTGCTCCTCCTTACCACCCACTGGGCCAGCCCAGCCTCTGCACAGCCAGCACAACCAAGAGGGCTTTTCTCTTCAGCACAGACTGGTGGCTCTGAGAAACCCAAATGATTTCAAGATGCCGTGAGATTCCCCCCCTCTCATTGCCCTACACAGGGCCTGCCTCCCTGGCTGCTGCCTCGAGGCCTGAGCCAGTTCTTGGCTCTTAAATCTCCTCCTTATGTGAGCAGGATATTTCCCCTGGGATGCTGGGCTCCTGAGTGTCTCCTGTGCAGCAGCAACTACACAGACTGAAAGGCAGAGCTCTGATCCACCCTGCCTCCTCCTGTGCCCTCAGGAGCTGCTCCCTTAAGCTCAGTAATCCCCACGGAGCAGTCAGTGAAGGCACATGTAGTGTCTGCTATGTCAGACATGGAGAACCAGCAGTGATCACACTTAGAGATTCAGATCTTGCTCCTCCGCCTCAGGAGGCATCCTGAGCCTCCTGCAAGCCTCTGCCTCCTGCAGAGAGGAGAGGACATCCCACCCTTCCGCACTACCCAGCTGGAAACACAGGAGGAAATGGGAATAATTGAGCTGAGGTCAGACAGGGGCTGCCATGGGCGAGGAGGAGCAAGAGCTTGTGACAGACCCCAGCTTTGGGACACAGCTTCCCTCCCCAGGGTGCCACGGCACAGACTGCAGCTCTCTGGGCTGTGAGGCAGCTCAAACGCTGCTGAAGGAAGCTCTGGGATGGAAACCACGCCTGAGCAGTCCAAAACTACCAACCTCTGCCTCTGGAGGGAGCATCCCACGGGTGTCACCTACCAGGGAAGAGCAACAGGGAGTACAGCAGCCTGGAGATCTCTCCGGGGATATTCCTATTCTACAGACAGCTTGCAAGAGTGAGAAGGTAAGAATTTAAGGTGGGACAGATATCATAAATCTCAAGACAGAAAAAGAGGCCAGGCTTTACAAAAGGGCTGCAGTTGCAAAGAACAGGTCAGGTAAATTGTAAATGCACTGCTATAGACAGCGAAGACCCAAAACTCACCTTGATCATCACCGCTGCCACCACCCCCAGCAGGGCCAGGACAAAGAGCCCAATTCGGGCCTTGCTAAACCTCTTCAGCAGGAAGAACTTGGCCCAGTCCACCTTCTTCTGGCTGCCAGGTGGGTACCGCATTTTGTTGGTGCTCTCCATCTTCAGGTCCTTGATGAGGCAGGCGCGGCGGTGGGAGAAGGTCTCGAAGCTGTGCTTGCCATGGTAGCCACCCATCCCACTGTGCCCTGAGGGACACAGCCAGGCAGGGCACTCCTCAGCCTCAGCCAGCCTGAACTCTGCCCACCTGAGGACAACTGAGCCTTCCCCTGCAGCACTTCTCATCTGTACTCCAACCCTCTTCTTCCTCACCTCATTTACCCCAGTCACTCTGATTGCAGATCATGGTTTTAATGCACCTTCCCCAGCAGGCTGCACTAAATGCTTCAGTCTTTCCAAAAATACACCCAAAGGTTTTTCCCTCCTGGCCCCCATCCTAATGCACTCCCAGAACTTATAATTATTATCAAGATCTGCTGCACAGAGACTCTTGAGCTGTAGGAGGCACAGGGATACCCAGACACAAACCATGAGTTGTTGCTCCCTGAGACACACTGTATATTAAGTCCCAACTCTTAAGGAGTTCCAGTAACTTACCAACACCACCAAAAGGCAAAGTTGAGAGGAATAAATGCATAATGACATCATTTCCAGTCACACCACCACTGGAGGTTTCCGAGATGACTCTCTTGACTAACTAGAAAAAGAAAAAAACACAAATCAAAAGATTAAAAAGGCTCAAAGAAGAGACCAGACCATGTAACTGAGGATACTGGAAAGGGAGCTACATTTCAGCAATGTTCATCTCCTCTGGCACAGCCCAGACCCACCTTCTTGTTGTTGGAGAAGACATACAGGGCAAGAGGCTTCTCCCGACCGTTGATGAACTCAATGGCTTCCTCCACGCTCTTCACAGTCACAATGGGCAGCACTGGCCCAAAGATTTCCTCCTCCATCACCTTTGAGTCCGGGGAAACATCCGTGAGGATGGTTGGAGCTGAGGCAAATGGGAGAATGAGAGAACAGCATGAGCAGGACACAGACCTGGCCCATCACAGCACCTGGGTCAAAAAAGGCACAGACAAACAGACCCCACAAAACACCCACTACCACCTCCCCTCCACAGAACCTATGAAGCGGGAGGCCTCATCAGTCTCTCCCCCAAAAGCAATTTTCTGCCCTTCCATCAAGCCCAGGATCCTCTTGAAGTGGCGCTGGTTGACGATCCTTTCATAGTCTGGAGATGACTTCACGTCCTCCCCATAGAATTCCTGACAAAAGGGAACAGCAGAAACAAAAGTTTCAGCACACCTTCCAACAGCTCCAGGAAATCACACCTGGGACAATCTCCAGAGCACAAGGGACTCCTCCCTCACCTTCAGACTGGCCTTGATGTTCTCCACCACCTTGCCCTGGATGGATGGGTCACACAGGATGTAGTCTGGGGCGACGCAGGTCTGCCCACAGTTCATGTACTTGCCCCACGCTATCCTCCTGTGGCAAGGGAGAAAGGGACATGCTTGCTCCACGCTCAGTCCCTTCCCCACCCCTCAGCCCAGCTGCCAGCACCTGAGCTGGCCATGCTGGCCCAGAGAAGTTCCCCTGCCCTGCTGCTGAGGGCCCCTCAAGGCTGCAAGAGCCAGACCTGCAGGCAACAGCCAGGTCACAGTCCCTGTCGATGTAGCAGGGGCTCTTCCCCCCCAGCTCCAGGGTGACAGGGG